CGTCATTGGGCCGCCCCTCCCCCCCGTCTGGCTCCAACTTGCTCCACCCCCAGCCTCACCTCTGGCATCAAGCGGTCTCCGCCGCTCCGCTCGCAGCTGCTGGGACTGGCAGCGAAGAGTGTCTAGCTTGCAGCAGGTGGCCCAGGATCCTCAACTGGTCCTCCACCCACGAACGGTGCCAACGATTCCCTGTGTGTTGGTGGGCAAGTGGCTCCCTATCTCTGGGCCTCGCATTTTTCCACCCGCACCGAGGTCCCTCTGTTTAGTGCCAGGCTCCCAGCTTCCTTCTACCGCGTGCACTGGAGACATGTTCACCATCCAGGGCTCCTCGAAATATCTCGGAGGTCCTAGAGAGGCCTCCGGATCCTGTCTGCGTGAGGCACCCCGCCCTCTGGCAACCCAGTTTTGTGCCTTCACAGTTTGCCACTGCATGTTTATTTATTCCGTCATCATTGCTATCACAGTGCCGAGTGCTGGGCGCAGTGGCACAGAGTCAGGGCAATTCATAGATGGCTGTTGCACTTATGGAGAGCAGGTTGGACCCAGATTCTGTCCGCACAGCCGCTGGCGCTCCTTTCACCGGGCCGCTCAGCCCCTGTTGGACAGCGCTCAACATCAAGCCAGACACAGTTCTGTGATATCTGCTCAGTAGCCATAGTCCAGCCCCAGGGTCACCCTCTTGCCACCGGCAGCCCTCCCTGTATTTTAGCACAGCTTCCTCTGGACATTTGGTGTGAAGATCTGTTTCCTGGTTGGTTTCCTTCTTGGGGGAGGATTTACTCCACACTCTGACCTCAGTGCTACTCTCACCCAGGGGCCATATCAGAAACCTTGTGCTACTTGACTCCAGGGTGAGAGGGAACCTGGTATCTGGGTGACAGTGTAGCAGAACCCCTCCTTCTTGCCCCCATCTGTTGCTACCCTTTCCCACTTTCTGCCCATTCCTCCCCCTAAATGAGAAAATCAGATGGGGAACGCGCCCATTTGGGCACTTGTTCATTCAAAAGTCACTTGTTGAGCACCTCTGGGTGTGTATAGTACCTCAGCACTGCGCTCAGCTATTCTAGATGCTAAAGGGTAAAGCAGTAAACAACTTGGGGCTCCAGCAACTTGAGAAGCTGTTGCAGGAAGATTGCAAGTTTGAGGCCAGCCTGGGCAATCCAGTAAGACCTTGCCTCCACATAAAAATCTTTTTTTTTTTGAGGCAGGGTCTCACTACGTAGTTGAGACTGACCTGGAACTCACTATGTAGCCCAGGCTGGTCTTGAACTCACAGTGATCCTCCTGTCTCAGCCTCCTGAGTGCTGGGATTACAGGTGTGCACCACCATGCCCTGCCCAAATAAAAAGTTTTTAAAATGTTGGGATATAGCTCAGCCCTCCCTGGGCTCAATCCCCAGTACCACAAAAAAGAAAAAATTAAAAAGCAGTATGTCAGGGAGTGAGAGTATTACAGAGAAAAATAAAGCAAGGAAGGAGGTGGCTGGGCTGCGGAGGAACAGGGTTATATTAAATTAGAGTGGATCTAAGAAGGCCTCACCAAAGAGGGGACATTTGAAGTTGGTAAGGGTGTGGGCCAGTGCGCAGGTAGGAAAAGAGAGCTCCGGGAGAGGGGGCTGCCAGGACAAAAGCCTGGAGGGAGGAAGGGTTCTGAAATGACCGAGGCACAGCAAGGAGGTTGGGTGCAAAGGACCTGCAGGACATGGCAGAAGAATAATGTGTTTCAACTCAAAAACCCGAGAGAGGAAAATCACCTGTACCCACACCACACGGAGACAAGCACCAGTAATTTATTCTGCAGTCTGTGCTGAAGTTAGTGAAAGAAGAGGTGACGTGGGTCACTGTGGATGTGTGCAGGTTTGTGACTGCTTCCTTCTGAGCATGGCATTGTGACTGTTTACCTGGGCCACAACCCCTTCGTGTGCCTCAGTTGTTTAATTTGCAAGTCAGCACAGGCTGTTCCGTCTTGGCGCTGTAAAGAGTAATCTTACACACAGAGCTCAGCAGCATTTCCAGTTCAGAAATGAACGAGCGGTGGAAGAGGCCAGCAGCTGAACTGCTTCCTCGGGGCCCCAGAGTCTGCCAGCCAACCTGGGAAGGGAGCAGGAGGCAGATCTGGACAGTGAGACCCACACTGGGACATGCAGCAACATCACTAATGAGAGTCACAGAGAAGGAGAATGGAATGGTGGTCGCTCAGGGCTGGGGTAAGGAGAAATGAGTTAATGTCTCATGGGGACAGAGTTTGGGAAAATGAGAAAGTTCTGGAGATGGATGGTGTGACGTTTGCATAATAAGAATGCGCTCAATGCCACTGAACATCAATAAATGGTTAAAATGGTCAATTTTATGTATAATTTGCCACAATAAAAATGATCACTGTTTTTGTTGAGCAGAGGAAGGGTCTGCCTCCTCATCTGCAAGGTGGGGAGAGGGGACAGGTCGGGTGTCCTCTCCTCTCCATGGGGCAGACACTACCCACCCCTGGCATGTCTGGGCACTCTCGGGCACCACACCCAGCAAACAGGAGGAGGTGGCAGCACCAGAGCCCTGCCAGGTGGCCTTCTGGGGTCCCCCCACTCAGACTGCTGACACTGAGGGGCCCCAGAGGCAGCCCTGAGTGCCCCTGTGGGGAAGTGCAGGCTTCTGGCCACTCCCCACAAGCCACCCCGAATCCAACTCATGCAGCACATACAGCCACGATCTACCCTCTGAACCCAACTTTTTGTGGAAACCAGGAGAGCTACAGAGTCCTCCTCCCCCTCAGCCCTGGATGCCCCAGATTGGGGGAATCTGAAGGAAGGCTTCCTCCATGCCATTTCACAGTGGTTCCCCGTGGGACGAAGATCTGTCATCACAGGGAGTCTGGCTTGACGGTACACACCTTGTCCATAATGTATTTTATTGATAGCTCCTGGTTACAGACCTCCATTCCGTTCCTCTCCCAGGAGTCTTCCTAATGGTCCCAACCCACTCTCCTCCCAGGGAGTCCTGATAAACCATGTGTGGTCAGTTCAATTCTTGCTTCAGCTGAGAGCCTGACCAGGTCCAGGTCTGTGGCTGGGCTGTGGGTAGTCTGACAGTGTCCTCAACCTTAGAATGGTCCTCGGTCTTGCAGGTGTGTAGTGCTCAGTGCTCTTCTAGCCTGGCCCCTTCTCAGACACTGACACATTTCTGTTCCCTCCTGGGAGCCAGGGCTTGACCCTCCTTTGGGTTAATTTGTACACCCGTCAATGCTAGGCCATTGCAGTGCCTCCAGCCAACGTGGGAGCCACATGATGAGGACAGGTGAGGACAAATCTGCAAGGTTGAGCTGCGTATGGTGGCGCATACCTGTGATCCCAGTACTCTGGGAGGCTGAGGCAAGAGAATCAAAGTTGAAGCCCAAGCCTGGGCAACTTAGCAAGACCCTGTCTTAAAATTAAAAAGGGCTGAGGATGTAGCTTAATGTGAAGGCTCTGGATTCAACTCCCCAAACCGAAAAATGAAACAAAACAAAACCTCTGTGAGACTGGGCAAATGAACGAGGTCTTGCATCAGCCAAACTGCAGCCACTTCTGGTCTACCTTGGAGCTACAGTGCACACCCCGAAAGACCCTGGCCAGTCACTTTCCATGATTTCTAAGGAGGCAGCCGATGGCACCTGGATCACAAGTGAGCAGAGAAGTGCATGGAAGGGTGGCACACCCATCAATAGATTAGGAGTCAGAGGCTACCTAAACTAACACCACACGGCTCCCAAGTGGCAGAGGCAGGATTGGTCTCAAGGTGGAGGCCCCCAGACTCAGAATGCGGAACTGTATTGCTTTTAGATCGAGAGGGGGATGCTGATATTACTTGCCGAAAGAGGGAACTGGGACTCAGAGATTCATGGTGCCTTTCCCTGAGTTGCACAGCAAATCAGTAATAGGGCTGGGATGGCACCTAAGCTTGCCTGGTGCCTCACCCTGAGTTTCCCTTCCTGAATTTGGCCGCCTTCCTCTGAGGGCCCAGTTGGTGCGGCTGGGGGTAGTGCTGTCCCAGGCCTTTCCTGGGGCGGTCCAGTTACCTGGCAGAGGTGCGTTCTGAGCATGCACTCTTTTTCCACCAGTTCTATGGAAGCCATTTGGGAACTAAGAAGGGGAAACATTGTTCAACAAACATTTACTAAGCACCTACAGTGTTCCTGGCTCTGATCCCAATTCCTGGAATTGCTAGTGAAAAAGAAAAGAGGGGACCCTTCCCTTCTTGGAGGTTGTGCGCTAGGCTGAGGAAACAGACATGAAGCAATAAACCATAATAAAGAGGTACACTCTGTAGCAGGTTAGAAGGCAGCAGTTGCCGTGGAAAGAGTAAGATTTGAGCAGGGTAAGGATGTTTGCGTACCAAAGTGGGCCTGAGTAAGTGGCCAGGGTAGGCATGTTGGTGACAGTCATTTGAAGCAGGCTTTGAAAGAGTCAAGGGATGGAGCCATGTAGATACAGCCCTGGCAGAATGGACAATCAGTGCAAAGGCCCTGGGGCAGGAGCATGATGGGGAGGTATGAGGTAGAGTGAGATGGCTAAGGTGGCTGGAAGAGAGTGAGTAGCAGTGGGTAGCAGGAGGTAAGAGAATGTTGCACCAGATGTTACAAAATCCCATGGACATCTGTGAGGACTTTGGCTTTTATTCCTAGAGTAAAGAAGTCCCTAGGAGATGGAGGCAGCAAGACGTGTGAGGCATTGGAGTGCTGCATCAGAACTTGCTTGTTTCACACAGCCCTAATACCCACTCCATCCTGGGGAGCCTGGACCAGAGTCAGGCAGGGAAAGAGAGAAAGCCATCACTACCACAAAGCCCCAGCAGCCAAAAATGTCTCCTTTGGTAGCATCCGGCCTCAGGGTGTGACTGGCTGCCCCACCCGCAGAGGTTCGGGATGTTTCCCTGGGGGCAGGCCCTGCCAGGGGTCTGGTACCCCAGGGAAAGTGGCAGCTGTTTATCTTGTGGTGGGACCAGGAGCGTTAGACAGCAGAGTCAACAAGCTTCAGCCTCACTTACAAAATCCTATTTTCCAAACAAGCAGCTCCTCGGAGCCCCTTATCAGGCCTCCAGGTGGAAAAACCCCGTTGCCGGGCAATGAGGCCTTATCTGCGAGGAGGCCAGCGCATGTTGATTTCATTAGATCCTCTCCCATCTGTTTCTGCAAACATCTCCAGGGGCTTCCAATTAAGGTTTTGCTTTTCTTCTTTGCAGATGTTTGCTTTAATCTAATAAAGCGGATAACAGGCCTCCTCAATGGGTGGGTGAGGGCCTAGTCCCTGGGGGGTGATAGAAAGATGGAGGAGGGCACCTTAGACACCAAGCTTTGACCCTGAGGCTGGCTCGCTCAGGACCAGCGATGCGGCAGGTTGGTGAGAAGGACCAGGCCTGGCCCAAACTGAGAGGTGAGTGAAGACTTCCGGTGCCTGCCTCCTTTCCTCTGGCCCATGCCTGGTTTTCACAGGTCCATAGTGGCACCTCCCTGCTGAGCAGGTGTCTTCTAGGGTGATACCATCTCACCACTGGATAGAGACTCCTGCATCCAGCCAGAAGAGCACCCAGGTGAGGGGCTGCAGGGCTCTATGCTGCGGGAGAGCTGCTCAGTGGCACGCAGGCTCCAAAGGGTGCCAGGTAAACCTGGAGATGGAATTGCAGGGCTTGGGACTGAGGTGAGGGTCTGGCAGAGCAGAGTGAGGCTGCGGTGTGACGGCTTGGACAGGCACGGTGGTGGGAAAGGAGGGGAGGAGCCCTGACCCAGGGATTTCCTCAACTCTGTGAGCCATGGAGGCTGACTTTTAGAGGCTCCTGGGGATGAGCCTCCAGGCGACTTGAGGGTGATCCTGGTCTCCAGAGCACTTGCTGGCTGCCAAAAGCAGCCCAGGACGGTGGGAAGAGCTGAATTTTGGAGCCAGCGAGACCTCACTGAGTGGCCTGGTAAGAGTTGCTTAACTGTTCAGAGCCTCTGTTTCCCATTCTACAAAATGGCCAAAGTGATTTCTGTGTGATGCCTGTGCATTTAGCTGAGAAAATTCAGTGCCACTCTGTCGGCGCTGGCTTAGGGGAGCTGTTAAGAGGAGGGAAAGTCTGGCACAGATCCTGGTCCTTGAGAGAGCTCAGCACCCATGATTGTCCCCCAGCCCAGGTCCCTGGAGGCTCTCAAAGCTCACCCCTGCCCTCTCTCCCCAGGCTCTGCTGTGGAGGAGCCCTTGGTTATGTGGTTCTATTTTGCAGTTCACTGACTGACAAAATGATCCACGTTCTTCATGCTTCAGCATTGGCAGGAAGGGGCAACTCAACTTCCGGGAGAACTTCAGTCTTCTTACCTGTGTAATGGGCTGCCGGTGACAGCATCCACCTCCTAGCACTCCTGTGAGGGCTGAGGGCCTGTTATATGCCAGGTGTTTCACACAGGCTGTCCTCGTTACTCTTCTCATTGCTGAGACAAAATACCAACACCTACAATTAAAGGGAGAAAGCTTTATTTAGCTCACAGTTTGTAAAGGTTTCAGTCCCTAATCAGCTGGCTCCAAAGCAAGGTGGCTTTGGCAGAGGGAGATCGCCGAGGAGAATGTTTCATGGAGGACAGACAGTGGCAAATCAGTAAGGGAATTTCCTGTCTCTTTTATTTTATTCAGATGAGTCAAGGAGGGCAGCACTCACACCCTTGATCCCAGTGCCTTTGATCCTAGCATTGTACTATGAATCAGTCCCACACTCTAGATTCAGCCACCTCTGAAAAAGCCTCACCTCATTTGCATGAGGCTTTGGGGGTGCATCTGGACACAAGCCACAACACAGGGCGTGACCCAGAGCGAGTGCAAGGTCCCTGGTGGTGCCTACCTGATAATTCAGTAACTTGAGGATGTGCTTTTCCTCCAGACTGCCAAGTGTCTCTGATGTCCAGGGTGACTGAGGTCCCCATAGGCATGGGTGGTGCTCTTCAAAGGAGAGGACTGGAAAGGAGATCCTAGAAGTCCCCAGGGGACTGAGAGGTACTGATCCTGCTTCCCACTAAGGGGAGGGTGCTGTACTTGCCCCCAGCCTCAGGCCTCTCGAGCAGCCCAGTTGGGAATTGGGGGCTTGGGTGGAAGACCTTTGGAGAGTCCTAGTGGCCCTAAGCAGGGGTGCTCAGGGATGTCTCTGATGGCTGAGCCTGCAGGCCAGAGTTTGGGGCCAAGTGATGTTCCTGAACCTGTCAGCTGACAGCTTTCTCCCTTCCCCTTGGGCCCAAAGCTCAGGAACTGAGCAGCCCACCACCCTTTCTTTTAACCTCCCCACCCTGTGGAAGGACAGCAGAGAATCCAGAAGCTTAACTATGGGCCTTCTTCCTTGACAGAATCCAAGTCAGCCTGGACCTTCATCCACCTACCCCAGAAGCCTCTCTCCCTTCTCCCACTGAACCCCATTTCTCCCTGTGGCCAAAGCTCAGCTGCACCTACCTTGCCACTGGCAGTGGGTGCCAAGTACTAGGCACTGTCTATATTTTCTGTGCAGTATGGGGGGTTCATGCCAGTGGGGGAAAGGGTACCAAGCACTTGGGAATGAGGTGGTATATCTTGAGAGCCATCCAAGGAGGATGACTGGTTGGGGTTGTGGGTCCCTTTTGGGTCCCATATCGGTGTGTTTCCCTGTGATGAGAATACCAGGTTTCAGCAAGGGCAGGTACTTCATGTGAACCACTCTGATGGGGGTGAACCCAGCGGTACCTGGAGAGGCCCTTGTCAGAGGATCTAAGTGGCAGCTGTCCGTGGTGCTGATACATCTCCTCCTGTCGGGAACCACAGGCACTGGTCTGGGACTTCTGCCTAACAGATCAGGTACTCCTAGTTTTAAGATATTCCTCCCCCTCCCCCAGTTGTCTAAATACTAAAAAAGTTATCTTGACAGAGTAATTAGGATGAGCCTTTTTTCCTCAAAAAATTATGCAGTTTTATCATATTTCCAATAGTTAGGCATTTTCCACCTCTGAGAAATTGAAGATAGAGGAGTCCTGAGTCCCCTCTCTTGTGTCTGTAACACCGATGTCTTGATGATCTGAAGGCCCTCCTTGCCCCCTGGAGGGAGCATTGCCACTTTTTGGCACAATTTCATAGACTTTGTCTCAGCTCTCCACATCTTACTGGCTAGATGCTCTTAGACAAGCCAATTCACCTATCTGGGACACAATTTTCTTCTTTTAAAATAGGAGAAGTGATTTGGACTGGATATATCTTGGTAACTCCCAATTAATCCCCCCCATCTCCATGAGGGCTCCTACCCAAGTTCTCAGAAACAAACAAGAAAAACCCAAAACACCCCCACTACATTAACACAAAAGGCAGTTTCTTGTAGATGGTCTTATTTCTTATTGCTAATGATATTTGCAGGGTATTGACTTCCTGTCTTAGACATCCAAACACCTGTCCTTCTCCTACACAACAAGGCGACTTTAATGCCCCCTCAGCTTTCTCTGGTGGAAACTACATGGTGAGAAGCATTCACTTCCAAGTGTAAACGGTAAATTGCATTCTACAACACCAGATTTTCCAGAGGTCTTGGGAACAGCAAAGGCTACTGAATTAGCCTCAGCAGTAAGGATGCGGTCCACTTGGAGGGCCTCAGAGGTCCTCAGCTGCTGTCACACCCTCAGGAGAGGACTCAGAAGAAGCCACAGAGCCCCTCCCCCACCAGCCCTCCTGGTTCCCAGCTCCAGGACAGGTGACTCAGGGCCAGTGGAGACATAAAGTTCCAGCTTAAATCTGGGCTTCTCAGGCAAATCAGCTCTGTATCATGGGATCCCAGCAAGAAATTATATTCCTGAGGCATTGAATGCCAATAAATAATAGATGCCCACATAGACACAGGAACATGACAGTGAGAAGTCAGAATTTTTACACAAGCTGAGAGCTGGGTCTCAAGTGTATTTGTCCTGGAGTTGCAGGCCTGGAAAGGCCCCTGGAAGGTCACTTTGTCTCCCATAGCCTCTGTGATAGAAGAAAGGGAGAATGAAAGTGCACACAGAACTCCAGGGATCTCCAAGGCCAGCCTCACCTCCCAACTAAGAAAGAAAAGGTGGCTGGAAAGGGCTGGGATCGCGGACTTCTGTGAGCTCAGCAATCTGTGTGGCCCTAAGCACTGTTCTGAAGTTTGGGCCTCAGTTTTCTCATCCACCAGTTGGAACTCATATTCCTTGTAGTATATAGAGGGCTTCTGTGAGACGAACACTCAGTTCAGTTCAATGACCATTTGCTGTTTCATTCCATGAATCATTAATTCAACAACTGAGCACCCACCATGTGCCAGGCCTGGTGTCTGGTGAACAACATAGGCAGGCGTAGGGCTTGCAGTCCAGCATCTGGGGAGACCAGAGAGAGCACTGAGGCTGCAGCTGAGTTGACTTTCCAGGCAGGCAGGATCTTTGCTG